GACGAAATGGTCGTCTTTCCTCGAAGTAGGGCCATTCACTATTGCAGAATAGGAGTGAGGAGTATCGACATGAAGCCAACATGCAATTTAGCATTAATTCTCCATCGTGGGTTAGCTCGTTGGATGCTCGTTGGATGCCCGTTCTAGTCAGCTTACCACCACGCCAGCTTGTACTTTCATCTCGAGGTGAAGAATTGTGCTTTGATCCTTGGTAAAGCACATTCTGGGAGATGGTATAAGCAAGGAGGCCATAGGCTTGCTGTATTATAATGAGCTAAGTAGGAGAATTGTACATACCTCAGCCCATATGGCTCATAGTGCTATGGAGGCCTGCTGTGCCGCCCATACCCGCCTTCCGAATCGAGACCCGCATGCTTCATCTCGCAATCAGATGCGAGAAGGTGCCGCCTATGGACGAAGGGCCTGCTAGGTTGGCTCTTTGGGGATCCAGGACGCGGCTGAGCCCCAAGGAAGCAGTTTGGTAATAAAAAAAGATTAAATGTGGTCCAGATAGTTTAGAGACTGATGTTGCAAGGTCGAAACCAAAGCAACAAGGAGCGGTAAATGGGGACAATCGTAGGGGAGGTAGCCTGGGGCATATATCAGTGCGTAAAGCAGCAATGATACGACGGTAAGAGTTACGGTTAGGATACTGTGAATACGGCACCGTCGGGTGCAAATCTATACGTGGGGGATCCGACCCTGAAGGGCATGGCAAAAAGGATAGAGGACGAATTATGATCATTGCTCGGGTGGTCACATGAACGCGAGGTTCAACAGAGAATCGTGACGAACCAGCCTGTAGGAAAGACCGGTCCATAATGTCTGAATTAGCAGATGGCGCGCAGTTTGCAGCCCGGATAGCATTGAGGCTGTTGAGGCGTCCCCATAAGACGGCTGCAGAGGACAATCAATCATTCTCAGAATGTTGGTATCATGAAACGGCGAAACTTACGGGCTTTTTTGAGAGTGCTCATTCGTCCATCAACTTCCTCATCCCATCGATTTCTGGACAATGGGCTGCCATCGTCTTTACGGGGGCGCTCCTTCCTTTTTCTGCATTATTTGGCTTCCCAGCGCTGGGCTTCGAATCAAGCTAAAGGAGCTGGTTTACCGCGCGCATTTGACTATGCGAGATTGAAGAGGATTTGGCGTCGCATTAGGGGGCGGGGGCGCAGGTAAACTGGGATTGGATAGATTATGGGAATCAGCTAGACTGCTTTTGGAATTATAGAGGCGGAACGTGGAGGAGAGCAACAGCGCTTTCATTGAGTATAGCCAGAACTCAGCAGCTGCAGCCCACTTAGGCTCGCTTGATCTGAGGCGCAATGCGACCTAAATTTTCGGCGTAAATTGTCGCTGGAATCTGGATGAGGATCGGATTGGGAATAAACGGTCGTTTGGCTGGAGATGAAAGCGGGAAACTGGCCATCAGAGCGATCAGAACATTGAGAACACTGAGAACATCGAGAACATTGAGAGAGCTAGGCAAGTACAAAGGCTGAGGTAGGTCGTGGGTTACTCTTACTCTTTGGTCGCCGTTGTTGCTTCTCCCCGCACAAGCCCCCCTCTTGGACCCGACCGCTGCTTCCCCAAGACAGACGGCGCAGCGCCTGTGACTCGTGTTGTAAACTGTTTGCTATCGACCACGACTTCTACGAACCATCCACGACGATAAAGAATAGCGAAAACTTAGTCCAATAATCTCTAAATCAGGGCCTTCGACATCTCCTGTTCAACCTCAGTAACGCAAAATACTGTCGAAAAACCAATCAAAAACAAGAAACATCCACACTTTGTACATCCTGGAGACGTACTATCACGCCTTTTTACGATTTTGCTATCCCTCAAAACTTTAGATCGGCGTACCGGAACTGTTACTTGTAAGTCCCAGATCTGAGCCCGTTGCCGTCCCGGAAAACTCGACAAATTTCAATAAAGACAAAGAAGTGCTTATACATGTCATTTCATAAATGT